GGGAAGTTCCGAAATCCATCTAAACATTACCATTGAGGATTAGAGTGATGCACACGCAGTTTGCCCAAAACCGGAAGTCCCGTTACACTCTACATGAAAAATACGCTTATTGCCATAAATGTTATGATGGAAGGGTTTCCCACACATAGACTTTACTTGGGCGGGCCGCCCAGGTATATTAACGTCATATATCGAAAACATGTACGTCTGGGCTTTGTATATATTGCACTGTCCATTAGATTACTAGTAGGCAAAAAGTAGAAAACGCTCTGATTGGGGTGTCTCTTACTGAATAAGGCAGTCTGCGTTTTAAACCTGCAAAACAGGCTCTGTTGAATGAGGGCCTGACGGAGCGTGAGAAGATGTTGAATAAGCAGGGAGCGAATAACCCTGAAGCAAGGCACCAATAACCTTTTATTAATAAAATGAACTGTTGTTAGAGGAGGAGACTTTGTTTGTATTTATCTTAATCCAAATAAGCCTCAAGTCAAGGGCCTGACAACGGACATGTTTAACAGCCAAAAGCCAAATTAGGCTAGCATGTGAGAGAAGGCAAACTGAGCAAAGTTTTTCAGAAATGTTCTTATCTTGTAGGTATTGATCAGGCATAAACAAAGAAAAACAGATCACAATGGAACAGTTTTGTACAATTCTTGAGCATTATGAAGCACGCCGCTCCTCCGCTCACTTCACTGGCTTCCAGTAACTGCTAGAATCCACTTCAAGACACTGGTACTTGCATACCATGCTGCGAATGGATCTGGCCCTTCCTACATCCAGGACATGGTTAAACTGTACACCCCAGCACGTGCACTCCGCTCTGCATCGGCCAAACGGCTCGCCGCACCAGCACTGCGAGGGGGACCCAAGTTCCCATCAGCAAAAACATGTGGGTTTGCTATCCTGGCTCCAAAATGGTGGAATGAGCTCCCCATTGACATCAGGACAGCAGATAGCTTACACATCTTCCGGCGCAGACTGAAAACTCATCTCTTTCGACTCCACTTGGAGCGATAGAATTACTAACAAAGAATTGCCAACAAAGCACTTATATACTAATAAAGGACTGGCTTATCTAAAGCCAGTTGAGTAGCACTTGAAATGTTTTGGCTCTATGAAACCTGATGTACTTATATGATTTTTTCTTCAAGTTTGTATCTTCTTGGTCGAATGCACTTATTGTAAGTCGCTTTGGATAAAAGCGTCAGCTAAATGCAATGTAATGTAATTCTATAGACAATACTCGCTAAAACGCCATCGAAATGGATTGTGTGAATGGAGGAGATTAATATTAGCAGATGTATGAAAAACTAAAGTACAAGTACAAGTCCAATTGTCGTGCTGAAGAGGGCTACATGGGTGGCAGACCTGATTTTATTAATTAAAACATTTTAATATTTTAACTGATGAAAAATATATTACACTGGCTCTGACCGAGAAAAAGAAGACAAATAATAGTTTTATATTAATAGTTCAGACATGGTGAGAACTTGGAAGGCCATATGTGAGTCAAAGCTACAAGCAGCTGTTCAGTCAACAGGGGTGTAGGCCGGCTCCTACGCAGAGTATGATAAGCGGCACATGTTCCTTGTCTCGGCGTGAAAGATTCATATGACACACTCCTTCTGAGGAAAGTAACAGTGGGGAAAGGTCACCGCACCTGCTGCTCAAACCCAAAACCTCCATCTGTCTCTCACATGTTAGAATCCTGATTTAGTTTTCCCTTTCTCTTGACAAACTGACAGCTTCCTCTTTCTCTCTCACCCTGTCTAACTTGACAGCTAAGTGTAACAATGTACCAGTGTCGTATCCGAGACAGATGTCAGATAAAGGATAAGCATTATTTTTTGTATAAATCAACACAAATCCTATATCCCTCCAACATGTGATGTGTCTGTAGCAGCCTTCAAGGTATTCAGAGAATACCCTGGAACACTCGGATAAAACAAACAAAAGACTCGAATTAATTATATAAATAAAATGAATAAATGAGAATGTTATCGGTGTTGTTGATCTGTAATATTACAGTGTTACGTTGATTTGTTTGTCCTTCTCGGTCCATGCACTACGCATTTCAGTGGTTTTGTGTTAGAAAAGAAATGCAACCAATCAGATACTTTTCTGGGTCTCTGTAGAATACCCTTCAACTAAGGTGTAGAATATCCTTCAACCAAGGTATTCTATATCCTTGATAGAATGCCCTGGCCGTTGCACTGAATGAGAGCGTACGTTTGGATTGACAGTTTGATCAACCAATCATATATTGATTTGTAGCCAATGGGCGTGTTCTTTCAGAGTTTCCCTCGGTTCCAGGGTATTCTAGAAGGCCCAGTTCGAGACAGAGGATCTAGATAAATGCGACGTAGCAATTCATTTGAAGTTTTATTCGTTTTTTACATCGAGATGGCAACAGGTGAAGATGATGTTGTTGCGGAATTGTTGTTAGTACCCTTTTCAAGACGATCATTCAGTGAAAAAATGGATATTATCAAAAAAGGCCGACACTGACTAAAGTATGAGCCATTATTCCTCATTAAGAATTGTCTAAAAAGTAGCTAATGATAAACAACTAGCAACCAGCGTAGACATAGAACGTTGTTTCCATGATGTCAGAGCTAAATACTTTCCAGGGATAAATAATAAACTCAATCTGTTATTTGGTGTTTATTTTAAGGAATATAAAACCTAATAAATTGACTTAGCTTGTTTTAAATCTTTGGGGATATATGCTCTTCTAGGTCTTGAGGACACAGAATTGTCTTATTTATAGGATAGTAATTATTGAGTTGTTCACTCATGGGAAGTTCTTACTCTTCCTATGTCATGCAGGCTCATTTAAATACACCGCTCCGGAACCAGTATCTCCAACAAGAGCTTGAAAAGAAGATCTGCAATATTATTCTCGCAAACCAATCAGAGCAGGCTGGGCTTTCTGTTTTTCTCCCTTAAAGGGATCAGCACTATGTGAAGTGTTTCAGTCAGAGGAGGAACACAGGTATATTCAGGGTGTTTCTCAATGTCGAGTACGCTTGCTTGGTAGCACATGTCTTCCGAGTCACTTGCTTCAGCAGCGAGGCAAGAATACTTCCTGGCATTCGGAAAACGAAGAGTGGAACAGGCGAGCAAGTGTGCAGGTGTGCTTCACATGAGAGGCCCCGCCTTACATTTTCCACCACAGATTTGGGGAAATTGGTCCGTGCGCAAAGCATTGTGGGGATTTTAAGACCGCGGAGTCTACACATGTGCAGCTTCGCTACGAAGTACGCCGGCCTCGGTAGAATTCCAAGTATGCTGAACATTGGAACAGTCCTTCGGCGGCACTCGATGACGTAGTATGCTTGAAATAGTGGCTCTGAAGCAGCTTTACTAGACATTGAGAAACACCCTCAGTCAGACAAAATTAGAAAAATGGTGTGTTCTTTAAACAATAAAACCTGTAAGCATGTTCTAGTACAAACCCTAAACTGAAATATTAACCTAAAAAGGGAAATTATATTTCCCCTTTAATGAAAGATACTACATGTATTCTTTGAGTAATGCCAAGTTTTGGCATTTTTAATCATATAAATAGGCAAACTGGGGTCAAATACTTGATGTATAGTAAAAAACCAAACCTATGATATATGCAAACAATACCTTCTATATCTTAATATGTCAGTATTTGATTACATAAGACAAAGAATCAGGTATTTATTTGGAAATACAATGTTAGAAAGCTAATCCCATACGTTACAGTACAAATAACACTACAATGCTGTTGGACTTGTATGTCAGCCTTAGTCTCAGAAATAAAGTCACGAAAATAAATGAAGGGATTGTGTTGAAGAAAATTCTCAGTGTGTACAGTAGTCTGTTATATTATACAAGATTTAACTGGTGCATGCACATTTGAAATTCAATTCACCATTAAGTGTGAAATATTGACTCAACAACACAGCAACTGTATTCTCAAGTCATTCAATTCTATCAGAAGCCTAAACCGAAAAACATCCAAGAAAATGACAAAGAGAACACTGTGGGAGTGCAAGGGTCAGAACAATTAAAGTGTTGCAATACACCATAGAACTGAACATTATCATGTGATCATTTACAATGAAGATATGGAGAGACAAAGAGAATTTTAGAATCCAAAAAAAAGCATTGTCTGGTGTTGAGCGCTGTGCCATGGCCAGGAGCTTTCTTTGTGCAGATCCCTTTGGCACATTTTGTGACCAATTAAACTGCATTACATAACCTTGGCTGCAAGATATCAAAGCCTGTTTTTAGGTCCATAACAATCAGCGCAATATTAGCATTCCTGACAACAGCAGTTGTAGCCTCGTCACTCGTAACACTAAAGTGACATGTTGAAACTCCCCAAGGAGACACTGAACTCAGACGAGCGCTGATGTTTTTCTACAGCTACATGTCACAAACTGAGAGCCGAAAAACTGGAGAGACAGAAAACCGGTTACAGTGTTGGAGGAAAGACATCTTGCATAGCGAGATACTTAACATTTGAAATATACCTTAAGCTGTGCAAAGAAACCTGTAGAACACCTTGCTTCTATTGACTTTAACCAGGGCTTATAGTTGAAGGCCTTGAATGTGTGTGGCATTTCTAAAAGCTTCGAGAGAGGCCTTTTAAATATTCAAATGTTTTATGCACCAGGATCACTACAGGTGATTGACATAGATGGCAAACCTGCTCTTAGCAATTAAGAGTTAAGTACCTCGCTATGCAAGATGTCTTATGATTCCCATGCCAAAACACAGTATGTTGACATCTCCCATCTCTTTGTGTTACTTCAGTTAAGAAATATCACTTCATATAGACTTTGCATTTCCCTTAAGTGTCCTTTTATCACCCTGAAAGTAGTAGAATTCCTGCTCCGATCTTAATTCTTCTGAGCTATGTTTGTTCTCCCTCTCCCTTGTATCTAGACGTTGCCCTCGCTGAGGTCATTTGTAGCTCAGGAAACGGATCAATAATGAGTTCAAATTTACTGGCAAATGCTTACCTTGTATCCTCAGTGCCATTCAATCCAGCCTGGGACTTGCATTTGCCTCCTGCAGAGTCAGGTTGCACATGTCCATGATGCTAAGGGGGCTTCTGAGAAACACATCCAGCAAGAGAAAAGGCAAAATAAGTACAGGTGTCGGTGCAAAACACACTCATAAAAACTGGCAGTATATAAGGGAGGGTTTATGCTTTTCTTGGTGAGTAGGTTCTTATCAGGAAGAGGTGAAAGAAGAACTCAGATCTTGTACTTTAGTGAAAGTAGAAATACCAACGTCTAGGAATACTCTGTTACAAGTAAAAGTCCTGCATTCAAAATGTTACTCAAGTAAAAAGTACAAATGTATTGGCATCTAATTATACTTCAAGTACCAAAATGACAGTACTCATTATGCAGATTGGCCCATTTCACAATCATATTTATTGTATTTTTTGATTATAATGATTGATGCATTCAAGTATTTATCAAAGCTGGTAAAGGTGGAACTCATTTTAATGATTTAATGTACTGCTTGGTAGCATGTGAATTGAAACCAGGTGTTACTACAGTCTTATGTAAGTGTTGATTATCATTAATCCAAATCTGCAAAGTATCTAGAGGTACAAAATAAATGTAGTGGAGGAAAATGACAATATTTATAGATTGTGACAATATGGCAAACCATCATTCTCATTTCAATCATGTAACATGTGTGTGTTGTTGGAAGGAGCATCGGCTAATACGCATGCTAACGTGCTCTAAATGGAAACTTGTCAGGATTTAATGGGAAAACAACGACTAGTGAAAGCAGTCTGTTAGGAATGTAAAATAACAAGCCCACAACAACGACAAATGAACGAGATGTTTCATTAGCTTATATTACACTTTACAGACGGACCTAAACAACTAGCTTCCTAAAAATTAGTTTTAAAGTCACTGCTAGTCGAAGTCATCTCACTAAACTCGCTAAATGTTTTTTTTTAAATGAGAAAGATAGCTTACCGTGTCCGGGGGGCTTCATTTTTATACGGAAATACTGATACAAATGTGAACTTCCGAGACGAGTCGTATGGTTTTTCTCCACACGGTAACGAACAGTAACGTTTGTATTATCAGCTCCACGTACCATGTAGTATCTACGGCTCGTTTTCTCGCTCAGCCTGTTGACAACTGACTATCTGCACTCAGTTCCTTAAAAAAAACGCAGCAGTTTATCAGACCAGAGTAGTCAAGCCCGAGCCGAGGGATAACATAACTGGCTGGCGGTTTGGGTTGCCAATCTATTTCTCGGCCGAGCTTCTTTAAATGCCTTGAGGCAGATGTCAGAATGTAAACAGAGTGAAATGTGAATAAATTATTAATTTCAGTGTTGCCCAGTGGCTTATCAATGCAAAGAAACAAGCACACTGATACAGTAAGGCAATGTTAGCACATTTACAGGACTTCATAATTGATTGCAATTCCTTCAAACATATTGCAATTACTTGATTTCATACATTCAATGTATTGTAATTAAACAAACATTTTTATTATTATAATGTAGTCAATCTATATTTTTCTGTACTCCACTGTTATTGTGGGATTTTTATCATTTCATTTCATTATTTTATTTGTATGTATTAGTTGTAATAGTAGTAGTAGTTATAGTAGTATTAGTAGGAGTAGTAGTCTTGTTAATATTATTAAGCCGGTTCATTTCCCATAATTTTCAATGTACATTTTTGAAAATTATATTCTATAATAGTGAATAGCATGGCCAATTACATAAACATTAAACAGAAACTACTGTAGCACGGGAATGTATATTTCTATTTATTATGCTACGTGTTTAGTCAATTAGCAAATCCATATCATGTTGATTGAAATCCCTCACAATAAAAAAATATATATATTATTATTATATAAAAACAAGAGCAATATATTGTACTGTAGGTAAACAATTGGTATATTTTACACAAACCCAGTCCTGTTATTTAAGTAGGCGTATACCGTTATTGAGTGTTGCCACCCAGTGTTAGTAAATTGCAACTGTTCACATTGAGCCTTTTTAAATTCACACTAGCTTGATTTGTGAGCTTTAACATGAGCATTACCTGTTATTAGCCTGAAGATTTTGGTGTCACTTTTTAGTTTTGAATGACATATACTCCTCAGTCAACTGTTTAATATGTTAAGTCTTATCAGTGGTGACTGCTGTTCAGCTGCCACAAAATACACCAGGTTATTATGTCCAAGGATGCCGTCAGTTCACACATGTTTATTATACCATAAATGTCCCGTGACTGACTGGTAAATACACTGGCATTTTTACAGCCAGAGGTAAAGGTATATCAAGGTCAAATTCTCTTTCACACAAATACTTATGTACATCCTTCAGGAGCAACGTCACACAACATGCGATGGCTGACCCGCTCTACCTCCTGATACATAGCTGCCTCATACGTTCACATGTCAGATAAATTATGCTAAATTATTAGTTTGTTAGTTTTTTTGTCTTTTGTCTTTATAAACAACTTATACAGGACTTATAAGTTAGCAATTTATATATGGAAATATACATTGGTAACACAGCAATAGTTTACAGCAAAAGCATCCACTTAGTTTGACTTTTACATACTTGCCAATGACATGATTTTTTCTTGACTTTTCAGGACTGTACATCTGAATATTGCAATACATTCACTGTGTTATTTTATGCATGACTCCTGTCACACAACAGTTTAATAGAGAAGGCGAGGTCCACTGTGTAAGCTAACAGTGTAATACTGGCAACCACTGTTTCCATGATAATCAGTTCTGTCACTCCAGGGCGGGCTATATTTCCGAGTTCTTTCAGCTGCAGGATCTTAGTAAAACAAATCACGGTGGCAACCATGTAGAGCAACACCCCAATCATACTGAAAGCAGCCAAGAATTTGTCAAAAGGTAAAAAACATCGTCCGGCTAAGTCTCCTAATATCACCACATGAGTGACGAGAGACATGAGAACACAGACTCCGTACAACGCGGTGGAAACCCACAGCTGCCAACTTAGTACTCCACTAGGTAGTCCCGATGCAGACACCTGCCTGTGGACCACCTCCATAACCAGGGGTATCATGTTACAGCCTCCCCAGAGTTGGAGTATCTTCAGCAGGCCAGGGTTGCTGCCCATGTATCCTCTTTGTTCATGGGCTTGGGTGCGAAGGACGTAAGTCTCTGAGGAGTAGGCCAGGAAGGTGATGCAGGAGGCCACAGCAGCGGCCACAGTGCGCGTCAGCCTCCCTTCATGATGCATCACCATCCAGGGGAAAACCACAGAGGCACTGAGACCCATGAGCGCGCCTAAGACTGCCGTCGTCATAGTGAGGTTCTTCCAGGATATCGGGATAAGGCTGTGAAACTGGATGATGCTGAGAATGTGGATGAGGAGCGTCAGGGTGAAGAAGAAGCACCAGATGAACATGCAGAAGATCCTGAATGTGGAGTGGAGGTTGGACGGATCCTTTGGAGGTTCAAGGGAGGCCACAAGGCTGAAGGTGATGCATCCGGATAAGACCTCCCATGTCCGTACCAAGAAAAGGGGACTGGTGAAGTCACTGGCCTCTAGTACGATCACAGGCATTGTCACAATGTTGAATCTGGTTGATACAGTATCCAAGAGGCAAGATATCCCTACTTGTGCAACAATAGCTTAGTCTTAGTTCCTCCAGATTGAAAACCAAAAACCTTTGAATTGAAAAGCTTTACAATAAGCCAAAACCATTCACAAATTATTCGTCTAATTTTGAAGAATAATCCAGTACAGTCCATGGAATCAGTCCCCTCCAACAGATTTCCACTTGAACCATCAGGTACGGTGCTTTCTTCAAGTTCTGTCCTGTTTCTCAACAGTGCTTCATCGTTATTACACTCAAAGTACAAATTCAAAACTCCTGGAACATGTTTTGCAGCACTGTCGCTGTCAAAAAAGGCCTCGCCTACTTCCTTTTTGAGGCTGCAGCAGTGCTTTCAGTCTCACTAAAGGTAGGTGCAGATAACCACAATAAAACTCATGCAAACACGGTTATCTTCCTCCCACTCTCTATTCTCATGAAACGCTGTTCCCTTTTCTCTGAGGTAATAAAACGACTGTGGGTACATTAGGCATTACTCTGACCTCATGTTGGGGACATAATATATGGTGGCAGGTTAGGTAGTTCTCTGTTTAATAAAATTTGGTTACAGGTAGTTATCTGAACAGTTGTTTCCATGGTGCCTGTGGAGCGTTTGCATTAAAACAAGATGTGATGATAAGTTGAGTGCTGTAAATCATTTGAGTGTTGCTCAGAAAATCTGCTTTCCCTTCAGGGGAGAAGAAGCTGATATCATGAAGAGCATCATGTCTCGACTTTTATTTTAACACACTTGGAAATGTGTTTGATTTGCTTTGATGGAAGATGTGTATTGATGTCTGTGTTTGTGCCAGTGGCAAGCTGTTCATCTGTTATTGTCTGAATGTATGCATGTATAGAAATGCCTTGTCTTGAATACATATAGGCATGCATGCATGTATGTGTGCATCGACCATGATGAATGTTCTTGTGCATGCATGTTTACAGAGGGCATATGCAGGTATGTTCCTCCTGTGTGTGTGTGTGTGTGTGTGTGTGTGTGTGTGTGTGTGTGTGTGTGTGTGTGTGTGTGTGTGTGTGTGTGTGTGTGTGTGTGTGTGTGTGTGTGTGTGTGTGTGTGTGTGTGTGTGTGTGTGTGTGTGTGTGTGTGTGTGTGTGTGTGTGTGTGTGTGTGCCAGCAGCAAGCTGTCAATCACTTATTGTCTGAGTGTGCATGGTAATATATTGTATAGGCCCTGACACTTTAAGCATGTTTCATGTGTACATAAATGAATGCCTGTAAGTTCCTTGTGTGTGTGTGTGTGTGTGTGTGTGTGTGTGTGTGTGTGTGTATTTACACAAGCAAAGTCCTCTGGAGATCCAGCCAATCACTTTGCCTCTGTGTATCGGCACACCTGCTCTCTGTGTGTTATAAATAGACGGTGGATACATCAATTCCCTCGTGTCACACACACTGCTCAAGTTCAGAAACTTGTGTTTGACAGAAGGGAGAAGACAGACGATAGCTGATGAAGCCCAGAATCATGGCTGTAATGTGTTTGTTTAAATGTATTTGTTTATGTGATCAGTTTATGATTCAAATCAAATAAACATTATGACATAACGTACATTTTCAATAAGGTTGCTTATATACAATGCGACTTAGAATAAGTGCATTAAAACAGAGGTGAGTTTCTTTACTTATGTATTCCTTTGGACAAATACTCTACTGTCCAAACAGATATCTGTATCAAATTTAAAATTACATTCTGGGAACAGCTTCCTTATGATGGGCAGATAGTATCCATCTGATTGCAACAAAATTAAATATAAAAATTGTTTTGGTGTAATTCTTGCCAAGGGAAGCACAGAATGTTCTTGATAGATAGATAGGCAGACAGACAGACAGACAGACAGACAGACAGACAGACAGACAGACATCTGTCATCTTTTCATCAGAAAAGAGATGGGGGCTGTCTGTAATACTGGAGGAGCAGCAGCAGAGGGAGAACATCTCCATGTTATGAACACAGACGCTGTGAGAGGAAACCCTGTCTGCAATAACTACAGGAGAGTACATAGATGTTGTGTAACTGGATGGTAAAAAGACTTGGATTTTGCCAGAGGTTTAGGGTCTGATTTAAATCTATTATGCTCATTTTCAGGTTCATATTTCACGTTTCTTATTAGTATTTTGTGTCTCTACTGTGACATGTCTCCATGCTTTAATGTTCAAAAAGCTCTTTATTTTTCTCATACTGCCTGTGCTGCAGCACCTCTTTTCACCCTCCTAGAAGCTTAAGTGATATGGTGAGGTCGTTATGTTGCGGAAGCCCGCCTCCGCCCCTCACTCTCCTTCCCGGCTGCTGAAACCCTCATCCACGCATTCATCACTTCAAGACTGGACTACTGCAACAGCATCCTGTATGGTTCATCATCCAACATTCTAAATAAACTACAATATATCCAGAACTGCGCTGCCCGCCTCCTCACCCACACCCGCTCCAGAGACCACATCACCCCCGTCCTTCAAAACCTGCACTGGCTCCCTGTCCGTCAACGAATACACTTCAAAATCCTTCTGCTAACACACAAAGTTCTCAATAGCTAGCCCCCCCCCTACCTCACCGA